ACATATTCACAGTTTTAATGCAAATGTGACTTATTTTATAAATCTTTCAATTCAACATGAAGTTTTTAAGTTATTTATATGAAATTGCTCTCACATATTCCTGATAGTTCATTTCGTTGAATGAATGGGTTAAAATTAATTAATCTTATCTGTCACCTAGTGAATTAAATGCATTAATGTTCAATACATGAATAATTATAATGAAATTATCAACAATACAATCTAATTAATATAATCGATTAGGTTATATTAAATAGGGGTGAAAGCAGCGTTAAACCGTTGCGTTAAAAAATTATACACAACTTTGGTAGAACCGTATTTAAAATTCATAATCGGTGTGACATTTAATTAAATTTTATTCTAAAGAGCTACTAATGTTATGCATAATGAGTCCTTATTCATTATTGTTCTTCCACCGATGACTGACCAGCAATCTTTGAAAAGAACTGTTGTCAAAATCCTCTTGTACCAAGTCCGGGCTGAAAAAAATAAATGTAGGTCAAAAGCCCTTGCGCATTTGTATTTCAGTCTGAAAACGATTGATAAATTCATATTAGTAATGCTTTTGTGCATTTGAATAAAAAAAAGAGTGAGAGTGTCAACTCAGACTCAAGAACAGGTTAATTTATAAGCAAAATTCTTGATATTCTCGGCGTCGTGATGACACAATCTAGGTTCTCTGACATCCGCTGTTTAAGGTAAGCCTTGTCATTAAATCATTCAAAATGGACACAGTTCATTTGGGATGCAATCTTTTATCATAATAGTCTGCTCTCAATATCTTTGGTAGTTATCACCATGTCTTCTTTCTTGCATTTACTAAGTCTTTGGGATTAGTAAACCTCAGAGATGTCTTGTGCTGGTCGAGCAAAATAGCTACCTTATGCACTTTACATACCTTATGCATGTGAAATGCTACTCTGGACGAAGAGCAGATCATGAGAAAAGAAATTAGTGGACTCTTTAAAACAATTTAAGGTCATCTTGTAGATTACAACAATTTCTTGTTAAAGCTTAGAAACATTATATCACTTCAAGTGATGAGGCATTGAGGTAAGAAGCAGAATTTAATTTTTAAGAACATTTAAAACCAAAGTTTCACATGCATATTGCCTGACCCACATTCGGTGCATCAACGCAAACTTGGCTCATAAAAATATTAACGACTCTTTTTTAAAACCCTGGTGCTTAGTCTACCGTGGCAGGACAAAATAATGAATAGGGTATCATTATAATCCAGTTATTCTTTATTATGAAAAAGATTTGAAGGTCACATTGGTTTTGACTTTATTAAATCATATTCTACCAAATTTTGGTATGCTTTTTTACACGCACTGTATGAAGTACGTTCTCCACGCCATTTTCTTTATTCTTTGTTGTTACAAAATATTTAACCCCGGTGATGCAAAAGGCATTATTTAGACACGGGTCAGAACTACTACACACGTTGATATCTTTTAAAAAAGGCAAAGAAAAAATTGAAAAATTGGAGCAAAGAAATTAAACATATGATCAGCTACAATATACAATTTCGTCTATATATCTATACATCAATCCAGAACGTGAGCTCTGAAGTATAAAAAAGAATATATCAATAGAGAGAGAAGGGAGGGTGGGAGTGTTTACAAAATTCAGGAACGTACATATCTTTATTCTTTATTTTACAGAGTGTATTCATAGCTTTATCAGAGTTTTAAGCTGTTAAGTAATTAAGCTACATATAGGAATATTTCTTCATCTTGACACGGGATTGGAAGCACACTCGTTGCTATCTTTAAAAAGGAAAATCTTTTATTTTCTTCATATAATTACTCTAACTTTACTTACGGACGAATAACCAATGTATCATGATGCACTTGGCAATTAGTCGTCATAAAAACATATATTTCGCACAAAAGTACATAATATTAAATCCCTAACAGTCTGCGTAAAGGTTCACTACATCGTTTACTGTTTATGTTAAAATATTTAAATATAATGCTCCAAATTTAGTTTCAAAATTAATTTGCTGTAAATAACAACCGTAATTTCTTATAATGTCAACTTTTCAGTATTATTATCATAATATTTATTTCATCCCGGTATATACAAAATAATGTTATATAGTCCAATAAAATAAAGATTATGTCCTTGTCTTTTTTATTTCCTTTCTAACGCAACCTGAATATCAAATAACCCATTTATGCCGACATTGTTCAACAGTAAATCAAAATATCAAAAATATGATTAGGATGGCGCTTAAATGTGAAACTTGAACTAATAAAGTAAATTGTTTGTTACGTTGTCACTTCTACCCACATGATCCAATCAATTTTCCTTCGGCAAAAGCCAGAAAGTTGCTATCAGGAATCATCATTTAAATTAACATTTTAAAACAAGTTGGTAAGAGGCAAATGACTGAGATCACTGCTAAAGATGTGAATTACGTTGCCCATCACTCCAACTAATTTCTGTTCCAATACAGTATCAACTGAACCCCCACCCCCCAAAAAAATAAAAATAAATGAATAAATAAATAAAAATAAAAAATAATAATAATAATAATAATTAAAAAAAAACATATATATATATATATATATATATCCATTCATACACAGTTTAATAGGCGTACAGCCACCGTCATCTGTTTGCCAAAACAAAACTAACACCATGGTAAGAGCGGGAATGAGTGTATGGGGAGGGGGAGGGGCAGATATAAAGATACCATGATAGATGACAAACAAATTGGGATGCAGAGCTAGTGATATATGCAAAGAGAAAAGGGTTGAAGGTTGAATTTACAGAAGAAAATGACAAACTAATACACACAAATATTGATTGACTATTTTACGTTCGTACGCGTTCTTTTACTTATAATCACGCACTGTTTTGGAACCACGATACGTACGCTTCCCAATAATAATGTATGTCATTCTGTATATTTGAGTGGGTTTTTATCAAAAAATATTAATAATGATAATAAATTATTACTCCACGGGGTGCTTATTGATGTTAATAATTTGTGTTCGTGTCTTAAGTCCAAATGTCCTTTATCAAGAGACTGATCTAAAAATGCTACCAAAAGAATTAGTGCCTTTCCCTGAATAAGTCCAGATTTTCTAGTTCCACAGTTAAAGGGTCGACATTTACTTGGCACTTGAGACCAAAATGTTATAAGTCTATTAAGTGTATTTCCTTTAAATTTATAAAAGCTTGACAATGGCCGTATTTTGTAAAAGATGTCATCTTTATGTTAGGAAGAGTTGTGTAAATTTACATGAATTGTCGTAAATTGGGCGAAATTAAAACCTCTCATTAGTGCTTCGGAAGATGTCTTTTAACACTAACTTCACGACAACGCTGCCAGCAATGCCAGACATTAACTGATGACTTGTCTAAATTTTCATCTGTTATGACAATACATTAACATGCTTAACATAAAAGGTAACATCGTATGTTATTACTATGTTCAATCACAAGATAAATGAATAAACAGCATTACTTAGCTAAAAGCGAATAATCCCTTAGAGAGATTTGAAATTAGGGTTTTAGTTAAGATAAGTTATGGTTGGGTCCAAATTTGAACTTGGGTGATTGACGAGTGGACGAAATTAAATGTAGAGCAATTGTCACTGGGGCTTATGTCAAACAATCCCTGTGGGACTACTTGAGAGTCCCACTGAGCAACGAATATGGTGTACTTACTAATTTCACGGAAATCACCGCTGAACCACATAGGGCATTGGACGAAATTTCCATTAACTAGATCTATGCAAATCCCAATCCAATCCAGAAATTTATAAAGCGCCGATATCTAGTTGCCTAAATCAAAGGCGCTGATGAGACTGAACAAACTACCGAAAATGTATGTTCACGATTCTAACTGCGAAAGACATAAAAAGCAGTAACTAATCGCAAGCAATCTGATATAGGTTTGCTTTTAGTTATGTCTTTAGCCACATTCATTGAAATCTAGGAATAAAACATGCGTGATTAATGTTTTACTTTATCCAAATTATACATCACTTGAAAAGGGTAAGCGTTTTCCCCGCATACAGAGGATCATGCAACACAACTGGTCTATAAGAGGTCACTTGACAAGGGATAGTCTTCCTATCTACTCGTGGGGGTGTTTTAGTTCATTGGTGGTTCATTCACTTGACTCTCAATCCGAGGGTTGAGGGTTCGAATCCCAGCTCGGCTCTCACGTCTTTTTTCAATCCATACATTTATCAATCTCCACCAGGTGTTAAAAGGGCGCCTGGCAGAATTTATTCCTTGAAAGGCATAGTGCGCTTCATACGACTGCCAGAGCTGAAGCAAGGGTAATCATTTCCAAAATGATGAGGAAGTGCATAGGACCATTGTATCTTAATGTTATATGCGCTATACAAGAACGGTTTATTAGTATGCATAATAATAATGTTATTATTACTATTAGTACTATTTCTATGATTATTATTATCATTATTACTACTACTACCATCGTTATCATGACTATTATCATTATTATTATGATTATTAATATTATTATCATTATTATTGTTATTATTATTATTAATAGTGTTATTATTATTATTATTATTATTGTTATTATTATTATTATTATTATTATTATTATTATTATTATTATTATTATTATTATTATCCTATAGCGGCACTTGTTATATTTCCCCCTTCGCTGATATAAACTTTGAACGTGACCTTGGACGTCATGGACGTGTCATCTGACAGTACAAGCCTACTTACAACAGGACAAATAGCGGTATTTAGATCATTCATTTTGCTTTCCGATCTAAAAACAGTTGTATTACCTAATATTGGTCGAAAGGAACGTGCATATTTGTTGGGTAAAATTCACTCAGTATTGGATAAAGTGTATCCAAATTAGATCAAAACTACTCCAAATTCAATAAAATTGTGCCGAATAAACATGCAAGATAGTTTTCACGCCACTGTGACAGGAAAAAGAAAAAGACCTCGAACTTGCCATATTTGATCCTCCATACCTTGTATAGTATCATGTAGCCATCATAAATATAATTTTAGGTATACATTTCTCAGGCAGATGCGAATAACTGTTTTAATCTACTTACCGTCTCGACAGTTTCGACCGGTATACCCAGGCGCACACATACATGAGTAGTTATAGGATTCATCCACACACGTTGCGCTATTAAGACACGGTCCCGACACACAGGAATCAATATCTTGAGTGAAAATATGGAGGAAGAATAAGATTTTTTAATGTGTATTATCAAATCATTAGAAGTTGTATGCTTTGACAAACTGGACAGCTACATATTTAATATTTTTCTGTTATACATTAACTTATTAATTAATTCATTTATATATTTATCCATCTGTTAATTTTATTTCATCGATTTAATCGTGTTGTGTTAAATATTCAGGAAAGATACATTTCGTCTGTAAAAAAAAAATACTTTACAAGTGGACGATGTAATGATTGTCAACACCTAAAGGATGTGTGATGGTCCATTAGGAGAACTGCGGATACCTCTGAAGGGACTGCAGATTTCCTAGTTGCCTACCTATTTGCATTTACAACCATACTGGCTGTAAGATGGAATTAATTACCCTGACAAAACCGCTATCATCCTTCAGTTTTTTAGGCAATGAAAGTAAACAATACTTCATCTTACATCAACCACAAAGAATATTATTAGGCAGATATAATTCTGAATGTTGTTCCTGTACAGTTATTGATATAAATTTGTAAAAAATACTAAGTAACATTTCTGTACATTTAAGATAAAAAAGACAGAGCAATTCGTATTGTTTAACATAACGTGAATTTACCTGAGACGCCAATTATCAAAATAAATTAACATTATTAATTATATTAAAGTTGGGAAATAAATTCATGGGCCCTGTATGGATCAAAGGACCAGTCTCATTTAACCGATAAGGATAAAAACTATAAATACAAATCGTTTACAAAAATTAATGCGGAAAAAAAATAACGAGAAGTTTTTCTTACCAGCCGTATAGGAAATGCGATAACCCGGATAGACTACGTTTTTGTCCGAGTAGAAGTAGAAGAAGATTTGGTTTGTGTCGTTAAATACATATATCCTTTCGCTCAGAGGTAAGCTTGTGAGGTCTCCACTAAGTTCATAAATGTCCGGTTGCATGGGATCGATTTCATAGATTTTGGGACCTTTTCCAAAAAGAAGGGTGTCCTGCGGTTGTTCTAAAATGAATTCCTCTAGGATGAGCGTGATTTGCGTTGCATCTTCGATTTTCAGATGAGAGTAGCAATCCTGACGATTCGGGTAATCATTAGGGTAACCGGGACTCGTGATATTCCCTTCACTGTCGTAGTAATTCATATTGCATCCAGCGCTCCCTGCAAAGAATTTAAACGAAATATTTTAAAAAGGGATATTATTTTATAGATTGAACTTTTCTATTCCGATGTAACCCTATGTCACAACAGAGTGACGACAATCGACGAAAAAAAACTTGCAAACATTGACGACATCAGCCGACAAAACATACCAAATAAATGAATCATAAATGATATCAATTGCTTAAAGATTTGTTTAATATCGATTGCTAATCAATCTTTTTAAGGCTAAGTCACAATACACCAAACCGGTCGCCGTTCCCGGCAACCACAGTTTTTGTGTTCTATTAAAGGTTGCCAGCGGTTTCCGGACCATTTTGATCGGCTGGAAGTTTACGCTACTGCATCGAATATTTTTGACGACCATACTGGTCGTGAAAGGTTTTTCTTAGCTTTTCCAAGAGTAGACAACATATCTTAGATTGACCGGTGACTGATCGCAAGGTGATCTTCATTGCATGACGAATATTTCCGGGCGGTGTTTGGCTGAGAAAAGAACGTTAAAGCTGATCAACAAATGATATGCGATCAGTCGCCGATTAATATCCAAACGTTCTCCGAACGTCGACACCTAGTAAGGAACACCGACAACGCAGCAGAGTTGTGAATAAGGTATCATTAGAGAGAATATCAATTAATTTTGGATTGGGAATCTGCCAAAGGTGGGTATACTTCTTTGTATACGCACTGTATATATGTATATACATATATATGTATTATATAATTCAAGGTCACACAGGATATCACATTTAAATGGGAATCTGCTAAAGTTGGGTATAACTTTTTTGATACACACTGTATACATATAATGTGATAATGAGTGTAATCGTGTACATACAAGTAAATACAAATAATATGGTTATTTATATAGCGCCGGTATCCGTCAGATTCTGACGCTCATGGCGCTTTACACACATAACCCTGATCGTACATGTACACTGTACCAATCGCCTTTGTTTGCATACTAATGTAGAACATAGTGTGAGAGTAATATACAATCTTTAAATTATATGCCACTTTTGAATAAAGTGAAACAACTAATCCAAGTTTGGTCAAATAGGAACATAACCCCATTAGGTAAAGTAACTCTTGTTGAGACACTTTTTCTTTCACAATTTAACTATCTAATTCTATCTTTGCCAAACGCGTCACCATTGTTCATTAAAGAGCTTGACAAACCCTTATTCCTTTTTTTGTGGAGAGGTAACCCTGATCGTATCAAAATAGGTCAGATGTGTAACTCATATATGGATAGAGGTGTACAGATGGTTAATACGGAATGTTTCTTTACTTCGCTAAACATAACTAGGATACGAAGAATATGTAATGGATTTATTGAAAATATGTGTTTTAACTCTTCTGAGCTCTGTTCCATTCTCAGATTGTAATTGTTTACTTTACTGTTACAGTTATTTAGAAAAGTATATTGATTTGATAACGAATCCTTTTTGGAAGGATGTAGTTTCTTCGTGGTGTGTTTTTGGAAGAGCAAATAGATGCTCCAGCAATGAAGAGTTTTGCTCTGAATTCCTTTGCCACAATAAAGGCATTGTTAATTTTAGACAATGGAACCAGAAGGGTCTAAGATTTGTAAATGATTTAATTGGAGCAGATGGTCAGGTTTTAAGCAGACAACAAATTATTGAAACTTACAATATTTTTATTGACTACCTAACATATTTCATTATAAAAAGAGAGATTGATGAAAAGTTGGAAATTTTTTCACAACCTATCAATGCGTTTATGAAGTTGACGAACCCACTTAGACCATATATTCTTAGTATTTTGATGAAGCAAAGAAAAGGATGTAAACATATTTACGTTTCAATGGTAAAAGGAAGGGTATCAGCTAATGTAAAAAGGAAAGAAAGATGGAAAGAGAAAATTCGACAACAAATCTCTTTAAAGAAATTGCGTTGTTTTAATTCTATTCCATACCAAACAATACAAGACGTTACACTCAGATGGTTCCAATATTGCTTGATTAATTGCATTACTCCCACAAACTCTTATTTGTGTAAAATACAGGTTAAATCAAGCAGCACATGTACATTCTGTTTATTGCATGAATAAACCATTGAAAACCTATTTTTCAAATGTCACATAGTGAAGAAGGTATGGGAATATTTCGAAAAGAAATTGTACGAAAGATGTAAACTTGTGTTGAAATTGTTCTTTTTGGAATCACACCCAATAAATTTAATAAAGCTTTAGATTCACTTATTATTTGGTTTAAATGGGTAATTTATAAAAACAAATTGGCTGGAATTCGCCTTTTACCACAAAAAGTTTTAAACGAGGTAAAGATTTATTTTGGCTTTGAAAAAACTCTATTTTGTGAAAATATGAAGCAAGATTCATTTGAAAGATGTTGGTCAGGTTTCAACGGTCTTTTTGATTAATGCTGATAATGTGTTTAATCAATGGTATGTTATGCGATGGCGGTCGGCATTCATTGGCTGCACTATTGCGCTCGGCGGGCGGGAGCAGTGGAGTTCCCGAGCCAGAACATCTGGACCAGATATATTGTTCTGGCTTGTTGGGTGTTTGGAGTGTGGTCGGTGGGTGCTGGCTCGCATTGTGATGCACATTATTGGCATCTAACCTTAGGTCCTCTTACAATCTTTTATGTGTCTTATTATTACGTGTTCAATGTTGTATCCAGTCAATGTTGTCATCACTCAATAGCTGTTGTTATGAAGAAAAATGTATACTGCTTTATTATTTAATAAAACGCCCTACTGTGGGGGGGGGGGGGTAATACAATTTTTTTTTAAATATATACAAGTAGATGGTGACGCACGCTATCTCTGTTAAAAGCTTTCATCATCATCGGACTACTTCAAAAATGCAATGTGTTAAAAATAGATCAAGTATTTGGCAGTTAATAAGTTCTTAAGTTTCTTAACCTTTGTATCTACACTTCCTCTTGATTGTGTGCAGTCTTATCATGCTCGGGGTGGGAGATGACAATCTTCACGTGGGCCACCCTGTTTCAAGTAATATAATCAATCGATGTTTAGCAACACATTACTACTCTTAGGTTTGACCGTAAGTTGTAAATATCAAGGAAGTGTGCTGGCTACAGATATCGCAAGAAACCTAATGACCCGCCTTACGTATTTCTGAGTCTTTTCTTACCAATATAGGATTCATCACAGTTCTGTCCAGAGTAAACAGTTTCAGCTGATGTTGAAACAGGAACAACTGGACATTGACAGTAGTATCCCAAAGTAGCATTGACACAAGGAGCATTCTCTAGACAAGGATCCGAGGAACAGTCTGTGAATGCAAAATAAAGGGTCTTTAAATATATGTATGTTTTGTAAATAGTTTTGAAGAAATATGGATATGTTAAACTGGATTAAATAAATAACAAACATGGAATTGACCAATCATATGAGCAAAAATACAAATGTGAACTTTGAAAACAGGATGAATATGCCACAATAGAATAGGTCCGAAACAATCAGGGGGTGCAAAATAGTGGGAAAACCAACGGATCCCCAATTTTAAACATGTGTACAATAGACCAGGGGGTGAGAATATGGGACAGAGATGGTCTTTTAGAAAGGTTAATTGGGAAGAGTATAGAGAAGAAATTGAAGAGGCATTGAGAAAAGAAGGATATGAAAATCTTGGTGCAGAACTAAACATTCAAGGCAGATACAATGTGATTGTTAAGGTGATCAAGGAAACGTTGAACAAGTGCATTCCGCGTGTGCAGATTGCCAAGAGAAGAAAAGTAAATCCCTGGTGGAACAATGCCTGCAAGAAGGCGGTGCAAGAGAGAAATCGTCTTAAAAACAGGTTAAGAAGGTATTATGATCTAAATGATGTTAAGAAATACTTAAAGAAGAAAGCTGTCGCTCAGAAGGTAATCAGGAGAGCTCAATATGATTATTGGTTAGAGTACTGCCGTAGAATGAATAGATTTACAGACATTGGGAAAGTCTGGGAACAGGTTAAAAGAATGCGGGACAGTACAATGAACAAGCACATCTTTCACAATCTATTTGTAGACGGAAATATCTTGAAAGAATCTGAGGAAAAAGCAAATGCAATGGCAACCTATTTTAAATCGGTTGATGAATCACTTTCCGTAACTAAAAATGAAAACGAAAATATCTTGTACAATAATTCTTCAACAAATGATGATGATTGTATCAATGATGACTTTAACATGAGTGAAATGGGGAATGTTTTAAAGGAGATGAAAAACTCCTCATCCGGTAAGGATGATATTTATTTAATTATGATTAAGAATTTGCCGAACAAGGCACTCGTGTATTTATTAAACTTGTATAATGACATTTGGAAAATCTCACTTTTTCCACATCAGTGGTATGAGGTTATTCAAATACCAATCTTGAAATCCGGAAAAGATCCGACTCAAGTGACCTCTTATAGGCCGATTTCGTTGATATCAACATTCTCTAAAATTATGGAAAAATGATAAAAAATCGCCTGACGTGGTTTCTAGAAAAAAACAAACTATTAAATCTTATTCAATCTGGCTTCCGCAAATATAGGAATGTCAAAGATCACTTAGTGAGATTGGAGACGGACATACATATATCCTTGAAAAGTAAAAAATATACCGTAGCGGTCTTTCTTGATTTAGAAAAAGCATATGATTCGCTATGGAAAACAGGTCTACTAAGAAAATTATCTATCTTAGGCATTGGTGGAAAAATGTTACTTTTTATTAAAGCATTTCTATTGAGTAGGATTTCTAATGTGAGGATAAATAACTATATGTCTCGCCACTACACGTTAGAAAATGGAATCCCGCAAGGAAGTTCATTAAGTCCTTTATTATTTACTTTAATGTTAAATGATCTCAAGATAAATGTAAGTGATGTTAAATTATCTTGCTATGCTGATGACATTGCAATCTGGTGTTCAAATAAGGATTTAGAGCTGGCCCGCAGGAAATTACAAGAGGCCCTGCATGAGCTTGAGATATGGTGTTGGACGTGGAAGTTAAACGTTTCCCCTACCAAATCTGCAGTATTAGTCTTTACCAACAAACAAAAGAAAGATATTCTTCTACAAATAAAAGGACATAATCTGCCTATATGCGAGCAGTATAAGTTCCTTGGTGTGAGGTTTGACTCCAATTTAACTTGGTCTGTCCATATAGATTCTATCATTGATAAATGTAAGAAAAGAATAAACTTGCTAAGTTGTGTCTCCGGCACCCCCTGGGGAAGTAAGTATGAGATTTTGATGATGATTTATAAAGGACTTATCCTATCCATTTTGGACTATGGGAGTGAAATGTATGATTCTGCTTGTATATCTTTAACAAAAAAACTTGACTCTATCCAATACAGAGCCTTAAAAATTATTACAGGCACAATACACAATGTGTCCTTGGAGGCTTTACAAGTTTTGACCGGGGAGCTGCCTCTGAGATATCGTAGAAGGTTGTTAAATGATAACTTTCGAGTTTATTTACTGTCTAGTACTTTAAACCACCCAACAAAAGAAGTATTGGGTGATGACTATGATTTAAATAACTTAGAATGGAAGATAGGAGAAGGACCTTTTAAACTGCGATCCTTTAGAGATGAAGTAGTGGTGGAAGGGCAAACCAACTTATTGCCGAAAATCCCAGAATGGCGGTTAGCACGACCACAAGTGTCTTTCGAACACCATGGCAAAGTGCAAAAAAAGGAAATGCCTCCATTTGAAATAAAATCGATTGTTCTAGATAGCATTGGAAATTCATGGAATGGGTTTTTACATATATATACAGATGGTTCTAAACTCGAGGATGGGAAGACAGGAGCCGCATTTTATGTGTCTCATTATAATGTGGTGAATTTTTTTAGATTATCCCATGTCTGTATTATGAGAGCAGAACTAGTGGCCATACTAATGGCACTAGAGTGGATTAATACATTTATTGAATCCTCTTCGGTGGTAATTTTTAGCGACGCTTTGTCAGCTTTACAAATGATCGATTCATACTTTATTAGATGTGCTATTGTAAATGAAATTTTATCCATAATTAATATTTTGCAGTTTAAGGATGTTTGTGTTGCTTTTGAATGGATTCCGTCACATTGCGATATTAGGGGCAATGAGATCGTAGATCGGGCTGCCAAAAAAGGAGCCATGAAAAGGTGTATAGACATAGTTATACCAAATACAAGAAGTGAATTGGCAGCCTCTCGTTTGATCCATTATAACAAATTATGGCAAGCAGAATGGGACAATGCAGAACACGGTAGATTTTTATATGCTTTGCATAGCGACGTTTCAAAGCCCATACATAGACAAGGCCTATCTCGCAGAGAAGAATGCTTGATACAACAACTAAGAGTAGGTAACTGTAGTTTAAATTATTACCTTTTTCAAATTAACCAACACGATACTGGTCTTTGTGAAGTTTGTCAAGAAGATGAAACAATTAAACATTTTATTTTCTATTGTACAAAATACGACAAAGATAGACGTCTCTTAAAAGAAAGGATTAAATTGAACAACCCCAATCTGAAACAATTATTGATGTCTAACCCAATTTTTACTCGTGAATTATTGGGTTACATATACGATACTAATCGTTTTAGATAGCTTTTAAAGCTATCAGGGATCCCCTTAACTTATGTCGATCCTGTAATAATATATAAAATGAAGTATTTGCGGTTTTTCCATGAACAATTGCAACTAACTCCCATCTCGCCTTTTATGTGCATTTTATGCAATTTTAATATTGCAGCTTTTTTTTTTTTTTTTTTTTTTTTTTTTTTTTTTTTTTTTAAACCATAACACTATTAATTTCATTTCACCAAGGAAAGTCGCTCGTGGGCTTGATTTCCGAAGCCCACGCCAAAGCTATACACGAAATTGACTGGCGCAAATAATCTTTGAGATTGAAGAGCGCCATCTAAACGAAGAACCAACCAACATGTAAGCCTTTGGAATTTTCAACAAAAAAAAAATCGTTAAAAATTCTTTTTTTTTTTTTTTTAAACGAAAAGTACGTTCACCCCGACGTAAGTTATCACAACCTCTTTCATTGGAACCCTCATGTTTCATTGACTTTTGAAAGTTCACCCACCGTAATTTGATCAAAATAAGTTGCAAGCTCGCCATTGCCTTTATAACACATGGGAAACAAGTCAACTCAGTTTGCCAAGCGAATGTAAAGTTTTAGGTCAAGCACACGAAGGATAAGAAGCATGAATTATAATAGATCAGTTCTGATCGGTTCAATATGTCCATTTCATCCAACCCCCCCCCCCCCCCCCACCGTAATTTTTCCATTGAAGATAAGCAAACATTTTGCCGAGGTAAGCAAAAACATGAATATTCATGATCGCCATGGACTATTCGATTATTTACAGAGGGGTGCAGTTGCACCACATCAAACTACCCTACTTTAAGTCATGTATGTCAGTGTATTATGTACTTTGGTATGTTTATTTTAATAACTGTTTAATTATCAGATACATGTATCAATGATAGTTTAAGGATATAGAAAATGTTCTTGTATTTTATATTTAGCAAAGCAATTTCACATACAAATTCACTACCAAGTGTCATCTAATCCGCCGATTGTCGTCTGCTATATATGCTTTCTTTCTTTTTTTGCGGGGAGGGGGGGCAAGGCCCGCTCGTCCCCCCCCCCCCCCCCCCCCCCCCTGGATCCGCCTGCTAGCCTCGAACGCCACGTCGGTCAATGCACCGTACAAGATATTTATTCTATATTTTATTGCATATTTGTAAAGCGCTTAGAGACATTTGTATTAAGCGCTATATAAAAATTAATTGTCATTATTATTATGATTACATTTGTTTTACATTTTATTTTAGTACAAGAAGTAATGTTAGTAGTATTTGTTTCATCCATTTAATGAATAAGTCGAGCATACATATACGCAAAATAAACCAGAGATTTACACAACAGATTCTGAACTGAAGCAGCTTTTTTGCTATTAGTCTCTTCTCAATGACAATTTGCATTATTTTTTAAATTCCAGAGTCAGTTTACGTGACCTTTCGTAGATTGCATATATCAAATCAACAAATTGTTGGGTCACGTAACTCAACACTTTGTAGATTTGGATGACCTGTTTCACGACAGGGCGCAATACGTGAACGTGATACGTGATACGTGACTGTTCTTTGCAAGCCGGTGCAGCTCCTTTAGAGTACATATCAGTTAACATGAGAAAATATGTTACAAAAAATTATTTAAAATATACCACTACAAATGCACAGGCACAAAACGCACAATGAGAAATCACACATACAGTCACGCGGTGGAA